TTCTTGTTTGGTGAAGTGTCTGTTCATTCCCTGTGCCACTTTTTAATTGGATTGTCAATGTGCACTGGAAAAGAGTATCTATTGTATTTTTGATGAGTAGAGTTTTCTGTATAGTCTATGAGTTGAAGTTGGTTGATCATGTTGTTGAGATGTTCTGAATCTTTGTTGAGTTTATTTCTTGTTGTTCAATCCTTTATCAAAAGTGGAGTGTTAAAGTCACCTATTACTTTCTTTTATTACACTTATTACTATCATTAAGTTATCTGTTTTCAATTTGTTAATATTTGCTTTATGTATTTCAGAGCTCTTTCATTGGGTGCATAGATGTTTATTATGGTTATGTCCTCTTGCTGAATTGACCATTTTAAAATTATATAACATCTTTCCTTGTCACTTATGCTGTTTTTTGCCTTTAAGTCTAATTTTGTCAGTCGAGTTGATTCCAACTCATAGCAACCCTGTGTTCATAGAGTAGAACTTTTCCATAGTATAAGGTCTAATTATTTTAATTCCCTATCTTATAGTTCCAAAATTTGTACCACATCTAACTTTGGTTTTGTTTTTTTTTTAATGATTTGTCTCTTTATCATCTTTTGTTTGCTTGGATGGTTTCTTGCCTTGTTTTTTATTCTTTTATTTCTTTGTGTGCCTCACAATTTTGCAGGAAGCCATCTGTGACAGTGAATAATATGTATGCCTGTAAATAAGCATGGGCTGTTTTTTACTATGACTTGACTGTGGAAGTGAAGTCAATCTGGTCAAGAGTAGAGCTGAGTTTGTGATTTGTTGTAATTACTGGGGTAACTCTCAAAGTACTACACATTTAAAAATCCTCTAGTGCTAGATTGTGTTTTGCCAGATATCTATTCTCAATATCTGCCTCACCATCAGCTTCAAGTCCTCTTTTTACACCAGAACCAAAGTTTCTTTACATGAAATTCACTTGTTGCTTGTTATTTGATGTTAGTTAGATCAGTGAAAAGAAGCAGAGTGGGGAGAAGTGTGTGGGGAATTTTCTTTTGCTCTGGTCTAGCATCAATTTTTGGAAGACACTGTGTCCCTAGGTCTTGGGGATGGGATTTTCCTTGTGGTTACCCTTTGTCCAAGCTGTCAAAGAATCCCAATGTTCTAAGCACAAGACTTATTTCTGCCATCTCCTCAGAAATACAATAACCTTTTCTGTTTGCTTCCCTCTGTTGCAATGAGTTTTTCCCTATGTTCCAAGGGTTGCAGGGTTTGCCGCCTTTCCACCAGAAGTTTAAAACTTTGATTCCACTGTGGAGAAGAATTCATGCAGGAATCTATGCCTTTCCTGTGGTGGCTTCTGTTTCCTTCCTCCAGGCTTGTTCATAATCATTCACAAATCACCTAGGTAAGTCTATGGAAAAGACTAAAGGTGGGTGCAAATTCTTTTGTGGCTGTTGCTCCCAGTAATCCGATATTCTCATGGTAGCTAAAATGGAACCTTTAGCAATTCATTAAAAATTCTAGCTGAAGTATTTTATCTTATGTGGTATCTAGAGCACACTGTCTGCTTCTAGATGAACAAGTGTTTGCATCTCATCTGTCCTTGGAGGTGTAAATCTTTCCTTATATTTTAGATGAGATATTTGCTGGCAAATTCAATTCTCTAGTGAGTTCAAAAAAGGTGATTTCACAAATTACATAACTTAATTTTGTGTTTTAATTGTGAAAGTGAGGCTCTTTCTGGCTTCCTACATCCGAAGTCGGCAACAGAGTTTTGCTCATTGTTTGTTTAATTGTGTTTTTCTGGTTATTAGGGAAGTTGGCAATGTTTTCATGTTTACTAGCTTAACATATTTTCTCTCTTGTGAAGTTAGCTATTTATATCTTTAGTACATGTATTTGTCAGAGTGTTAAAGAAAATAAAATCAAGAGGAGAGATATGTATATGTATAAGGTGGTCTAATGGCACAGTGTTTAAAGCATTTGGCTGCTAACCAAAATGTTGGTGGTTCAAAACCACCAACTGCTCCATGGGAGAAAGATGAAGCAGTCTGCTTCCAAAGATTTACAGCTTTGGAAACCCTATGGGGCAGTTCTACTCAGTCCTATAGCCAGAGTGGGCTCTTGTCTTCTGCCAAGAAAGAATAGCTTCCAGAGACAGAAGTAATTTCAGAAAGCAAGACTTTAATGAAACACTAATAAGGGAAAGAAAATGAGAAAGGAGCTCATGAGCAGAGCCAAAGGATTAATCAACGCTAGCCTTTGTCTCCCTGAGTACAAAGCAGGGAGGTGTTTATAAAGGCTTTGGTAAATGTTTTATTCGTTAAATTTCTGGGAAAAGGTGGGTATTTTGGGGAGATGGTAGGCTCTGTGTTGGGTTATGGAATCAGATGTGACACGACTCATTTTGGGATGTCATGCATGTGCTGTCCTTCAGAGTGTTCGTTTGATTCCTGGTCAGTCTCTGTTATCTTACAAAGGTTTTGCACAGACAGTCAGCATTGTGCTGCACATGCCTGGCGAGCTAGAAACTAGGTTACCACAAACACCTGCAGAAAAAAAATCTTGCAAGAATATGAACAATAGAGCAGGGGGAGGCTGCTGGTTACTTTGTACCTTCTATGTTCCAGCATGTGGTTTGGCTTTTAGCTGCAGTAGCTAGGCTTTAGGCTCCATCTCGTGCCCTAATTAACCCTCAGGTCCTGCCACCTTCTGCTTGTCTCATAGGGTCACTGTGAGTCAAGAGTCAGAATGGACTGGACAGCAGTGGATTAATGTGTGTGTGTGTGTGTTTACATAACACACACACACATGGGAACCCAAGTGGCGCAGGGGTTATGGGATTGGCTGCTAACCAAAAGGTCAGTGGTTCAAAACCACCAGGAATTTTATGTGAGAAAGATGTGGCAGTCAGTTTCCACAAACAGTTCAGCTTTGGGAACCATGTGGGATAGCTCTCCCTTCTTTTATATGCTTGCTATGAGTTGGAATCAAGTCCACAGAAAACAGGTTTGGGTGTTTTGTTTTGTTTGTTTGTATAGATATAGATATAGATATAGATATAGATATAGATATAGATATAGATATAGATGGAGAGATTTTGAGGATGAAATTAACTCACAAAGTTGTTTGGACTGGCAAGTCCAAAATCTATTGGTAAGAAAGCCTGAAACTTGAGTGTCTTGAGTCCAAAATCAATAGATCAGGCAGGCTGTAAATTCCAGAAGCTAAAGTACCAAGTCCATAAGCCAGGTAGGCTGGAAACTTCAGCAGATATCTATGTTACAGTCTTAGAATCTTAGGGCAGAATCTTTCTTACTTCAGAAAACCTCAGTTTTTGCTATTAAGACCTTCAGCTGTTTGTATAATGCACACCCTTGTTATGTAAGATAACACAGTTTTCTTAAAGTCAATTGATTGCAATGTTAATCTGTTAATCATGTCTAAATACCCTCATAGCATTATTTGACCAGCAATTGTACACCATGGCCTAGCTAAGCTGACATATAAAATTAACCATCATAGTTCATATTACATTGTACAATTACATCTAAGAAATTGTTTATTAATCATTTTATTCATTCATTCAACCAAAAATTATTGAGCAGTGATAATATCTCTTAATATTTACATACAGCAGAGTAACCCCCTTACCCTGAACTAAACTGGACTTTAAGGCTGTAATGAATAAAAAAAACAACTTTTATTGATAAGCTTCAGAGATTTTCAAGTGGGCTAATTTGGAGGGATTGAAGACCTTATGAGTTGCTGCCCTCAGGTAGCACACAATTTGATGGCACAGACTATATCAGATATTCTTCAATGCAATGCTAGTAAGATCAGTTGGCTTGATGTTTTGTTTCATCTTTTAGCCTTGATATCCTGGATGAAAAAAAAGAAAAGAAACAGTCTGAAATGTAGTTAATCAGTTATCTCTCCTTTACTTGTACAGATGCTGTTGTCCTAAAGTGCACCTTTCTTTTCCTCTTCTCATCAAATTCTCTTCCACCTTCCTCTGAATACATTGTTTACTTTTGGCTCTCTCTCCTGAGTTCAATATTTGACCTGAGATTTCACTTCTACTTATGCAGGTACTTCAAGCTTCCAATCCTACTCTTACAAAAGAAGACAGGAGTCAGAGAAAATGATACTAACATATGGAGAAGAGACAAAGTAGAGGCAGTAAGATGGTTGTGAGGGTGGGTGAAAGGGCAGTGATAGTGGTTTATCCTAACTCAATCGCATTGGACTGGGCGCTCTACTTCCATAAAGATTTACTGCTTCAGAAACCCAATGTGTGTTTATGTTATGTGCCGTCGAGTCAGACCTAACTCATAGCAACCCCTCCTTGAGTTTCCAAGGCGGTATCACTATGGAAGTAGATTGTCCAGTCTTCCTTCCGAGGAGCCTTCTGGTTAGCAGTCAAGTGCCTTAGGCACTATGCTACCAGAGCTCCTCAGAAACCCAAGGGGGTTGCTATCAGTCAGAACCAACTTGATGGCAGTGAATTTGGTTTTTGGTTTATAATTAGCGCAGAGTGCCTGTGTGACACAGTTAATGTGCTCAACAGCTAACCAAAATTTTGGTGGTTTGAGCCCACTCAGAAAGAAAAGAAAGGTTTGACAATCTACTTCTGAAAAAAACAGCCATTAAAAACCCTATGGTGTACAGTTCTACTCTGACACACATGGGATCAACATGAGTCAGAGTGAACTCAATAGTAAGTGTTCTTTATGGCAGGTACAGTCATGGCTTGATTAGCTCTGAGAAATGAATCCTCAATCTGAGGTCTGTGTTTTATATACTTGTTTTTCAGGTGATTTGTCTAACTTACGATAAGCTTTCTGCCTTGTATTTGAAATGTAAACAAAGAATTCCTTATAATACTGGGTGTCAGGTGTCACAGTATGCGTCTCTGCCTTGTGAAGCCCTGTCCTCTAAACTATGAATCTAGGATGTGTACTTTCTAAAAGAGAGGTGGCTCAGTTCTGTGAGATACGCTAAATATCTGGGTCTTCCACCCTATAACCTGTTCAATACCACTTGCCTAGCTTGCTGAAAGTCAGCAGACCCCCTTCAAGTCTTGAAGACTTGATTTTCTTCCATGAAGCTCCTACTTTAATGAAACTGTGAACTTCAGATTTCAGCTGCAGCTTTTCTCCATTTTTTGACAGCTCAAAAAATATAAGTCGAACTTTATCCCCTTGCTGGCAATTGATTTTGGAGTGTGATCCAAGCACCAATATGTCCATGCTGCCTGTGTTGTCATTCAGCTTAAATAACATGCAGCTCCTTCCTTCTGTTTTCTACAAAAGAAAATTAGCATCTAGCCTCTGATAATCTGATATACAGATATATATACCACCAAACCAAACTCACTGTTGTAGAGTCAATTCAACTCATACAGACCCCTCCTTGGGTTTCTGAGGTGGTATCTCTGTGGAAGTAGATTGCCCAATTTTCCTTCTGAAGAGTGGCTGGTGGGTTTGCACCTCCAGCCTTCTGCTTAGCAGTCAAATGTCTTAGGCCCTATGCCACCAAAGCTCCCTTTACTTTGAAATTTTGCCTCTTGAGTCTCCCTTTCCAATCCCAAGCTCCATTCCTTCATGAGGCCAGGATGACCCAGGTAGGTAGAAACAGCTAGATGGAAAATATAGGGCTTCTCCAAGTAAAGTTGCCAAAGCTGCTAAGGGAATGAAAGACTCTGGTATTGGAGAAGAGTCATTTAAAGCAACAAATCCAGGAAAGACATTAAGTCTATGATGTACAACCTTGTAAAGATTGTAAACAAGAGTAAGGAATCAAGGATAGAAAATAATTCACAGTCAAGTTCAGGTCAAAAGAAGACATGGTGTTGATGTTCTCAACTAAGGGATTGATAGTATCTGAGGGTTCATTTTGTAGGCTGAATGTATAAATTTGTGAAAGGTTGCCAGATCAAAGACTCAGGTAAAGAACACAGCTTTCCTATCCAAGGTCATTTTCTGCTTGAATTTTCCAGGAAGAGAGATGCTCTCTAACAACTCCTTTGCTCCTATTCCCAAGAGAGCAGAGCTTATCTTTAGGTTCTTGGATACACAGTCAGCAGATTCTGTGCAGCCAGAAAACGTAGACACATGAGTAGCTCCTCTGAGGCCCAGAGTCACAATACTTTATAATTACTCACTTCTATTAAGTTTCTTTTTGCTAACTTTTTCTTTCTTCCATCACTGTTCTTCAATCCTTCCCTAATTACTGCTCTTCCAAGTCACTTAATCTGGTGTATTATTTATTACTCAGCTACAGATATTTGGCTTTCATGACAGTCACTTAACATAAAGATCATATATGTATATAAAGTACAAAAATAACCTAGAGGGCAAACATTATTTGTGTTAGTAGCCTAACACATTTGATTGCTAACCAGAAGGTTGGCAGTTCAAACCCACCAGCCACTCCATGGAAGGAAGACTGGGCAATCTAGTTCCATAAAGATTTACCACCTCGGAAACCCAAAGGGGGTAGCTATGAGCTAGAATAGACTTGATAGCAGTGAGTTTGGGTTTTGGGGGGCTTTCACTAGTATAAAAAGAAGTTGAAATAGGATTGTGATAGCTTTGTGAGAATAAAAATACTTCTAATGTATTTTAGCTTGGGCACATCATTAGCTTTGCATTATCTTATTTCTTTCTGGGTTATATATATATATATATATATATATATATATATTGAGAGAGAGAGAGAGAGATTAAAATGAGTAATTTTTAAATTCCCTTCAAGTTCAGAGTGGAGAATAAATAGTTCTTACTGATAAATACAAAATTTTATATAGGAACCTACCTTCTGTGTTACAAACTCCCCATTGACAGTTGTTCCAAGGGGCTGAGTTTGAAGTTCATTGTCTTCGGGGTTTCACTAGCTTTTCTGATAATGTGCTTTGTGATGCTGATATTTTGGTCAGATTCAGCATCAAATACATGCAAGGCACTATTCACCTCTAGGAGCTCTGGTAGTGTAGTGCCTAAGGCACTTGACTGCTAACCAGAAGGCTGGTCCAGCCACTCCTTGGAAGGAAGGTTGGGCAATCCTACTTCTGTAGTGATACTGCCTGGGAAACCCAAGGCTATGAGTCAGGTCCGACTCGATGGCACATAACAACAACAACAACAACATTCACCTCTAGAAAACTACTGTGCCAATAATACTGTAATTTTGTGATTATTCTCTTTGGGGTGAATTTATCTTTTAGCTTTGTATTGAAAACTTTCACTAAAAAGAATTCACTCTCAGTAGCCATTGTAGCATGGAACATCATCTTTTTCTTTCCTTCTTGGGTCTCAAATTCAAATGGATTCATTGTTTCAGCACCATGACTGTGATACAGCTTGTCTACAACCCTTCTTCTTAGAAGGTTTCTCCTGGCCATCATCTATTTCTGTCCATGGTGAAGACAGCAGAAGAAAGACATACACTGTGAGTAGAGAAAGTAGTATTCAGAAACTGTACTTGACTCACAGTGTTAAACCCCAGAAAATCAGTTAAAGATGAGTGGGATCAAAGGAAGAAAGAGATCTAGAGGTATTAGGGAGAGATTTGAAGCCTGGAACTATCTAGATAGAAAAGAGATTGCAGAAGGATGATTTCAAGCCCTTTGTTCAGACCAGACAGTACAATATATGGTATTAGAGAATGTAGGTTTTGGAGGCAGACTGTGAGACTAAGTCTTCATCTTGCCATCTATCATAAGTAAAGAGCCCAACCACTGAGGCAGAGGGGGTAAGTCTGATGCTGCCCTCTTCTACTGACTGCATCAGAGTACATAACGTTCTTGTCCCTCCACCCAAAACTGTCCTGGCTACACATTCTACTCTTGTAGAAATGAATATAGAGGGAAATGTTGGCTGCGAGTTCTTACAAATGAGTTAAAAAGGGAAATAAAAAATTAGAATCAATTCTACTTTTTTATTGTTATTAATGAATTTACCCTTAGAAATAATGTTGTACACTAAGGCCATGTATAATAATTATGTATTGTTATTCATAATTATAAAAATCAAATAATTTAAATATCCAAAAATAGGGATTTGCTTAAATAAATTATGGAATAGTTATATATAATAGAATATTATGCAAGTACTAGCAATGTTTTATAGAAATAATATGATAAACTACTGAAATTCACTCAAAAAAGGCTAAAGTTCCAAATAGAATATATATTATGTTTTTCATTAAATAAAAAAACAAGTAAATCATACACAAAAAAAGCACTAAAAAAATATTTACCAATATCAAATATGGTTTTCTCTAGGTGATAGGATTATTAGTCATTTTATTTTATTCTTTTGTTTTTCTCCTGTTTCCCAAATTATTAACAGAGATAAAAGATATTCTTATTTCTCAAAAACAAAAGCAAATGTTACTTTTTAAAAGGAACAGGCTGCCAAGAGCCAAAGAGAAATATAGAAAAAATAGAGGCATTTGAAGCCCAACGTATGAGTTTCTGACTGGAGTCTCCCTCTTTTGGTACATGGAGAGTGGGAAATGGCCTGTAGGTATTGGGCTCCAGATGAACAGTGGAAAGGATTTCACTTGAACCAATGCAGGAAGCTTTACTTACATCTGCTAGCAAGACTTTCTTCTTGGTACCATGTGTGTCTACTTGGATCTTCTAGGATAAATAATGTACTTTTTCATTACAGTTGACTGGAAGGTACCACTTATACCTGAAGCAAGTATCACTGAAAACTCCAGAGGACTCTGGGCCAAGCCACTGAAGCCTGGTCAATATGTAAGAAGTCACTGCTCTAGACAGAGAAGGGAGTGACATAAAATCAGTGTCCCTACATTTACATCTATAAAAAGATATGATACCTATTCTCCCCTGTGGGAGATTCTGTGGTGGGCCTTGCAGACGTGTCCATTTTTCCCTTTCAGGACTAGAAATTTATTCTCCCAGAGGCTGAATCTTTTTCCAGAAATTACTCTCAGTTTCACATTGCCATCTCACATAGATCAATGCAGATGTATAAAGTTCTTCTCCCTCCCAACCAAACCATAACAACTCTGAAAGACATTCCCATCTCCTCTGTTGCAACTGTGTTGGACTTAAAACTCTTACTCTTATCCTGCTACCTTCACTCCCTTTCAGGTATTAATCCTGAAAGCACTCTCTAATACACTTCCTGAAAACAACTGTCCATCATAGAGTTGTCTTCCTGTGGACCAAGCCTGTGACGATGTGTTAAAGTGACCAGTGGCTTGCAGAGATGAGGAATTCAATAGATGTTTAATCTGATGAACCTGCAGCAATTTCTCCTTCCATTACCTGGATACACTTTTCATATTATAGCCTTGTTTTCATTTACTTGCATACTGTGAGATGAATAACAGAGGGCTTAATGCAGAAAATGACAGAGACAGTGACTTGAGAATGCTCTTATCAGGAGTAGAGGCCAATCCACTTGTCCCGTCATACCTTAAGGTGAGGAGAGACTGTTGGTGCAGCACATGGTTCCATGACATAATTTTTGGTGGCTGTAAAGGCGTCAGGACTCATTCTAGACTGACTTCTCTTTTTCAGTAGCTTTGTTCCTTTTTTACCTTTATATTTCTTGTCAACTGATTAAACACACACACACACACACACACACCCATTAACTCAGAGTCAATGGTTATAAACAGCTGAGAAAATTCAAATACCACATTCTATTAGGAAAACAATTTAAAATTATTGAGTCCAAACCTGCTTTGGTGTTACAGATACACACACATAAAATACAGAGTTATACCAGCCTGTTGCAACAGGGGGAAAATATCTTTAGAGATGTAAGTACAGGAATATAATGATGCATAAAAATATTCTGCCCTGACAATAGTGGGCTTGCTTATTAGTAATAAACCTTGACATGGGAAATAAGTACAAAAGGTGGGAAAAGTTTGTTTATAAAAATAGTTTTAGAACAGTGGAAACAAGAAAGGGGAAAATAAGATGGTGAGCCAAGCTCCTAAAGAAGAGTCATAATCAAGAAAAAAAAACATGCAATATAAGCAAAACCACTTATGACAAGATATTATAGCTTGTAAACATGGATTTTAAAATAACCATTTTATTATGCTAAATAAAATAAATAGTGCTCAAAGTAGTGGAGAAAGGGATAATTTTGATATAAAAATATTTCATCTATAAACAAAAAAAACCCATGCTAAAATGACAAGTATGTAATATCTCATATTAATTACTGATTGGATGAGTTTAATAGTAGACTGATCACAGCAGAACACAGGATCAGTCAAAAACAGGTAAATGGAAATTACATAAACAAGATTATATATAGGAGCTCTGGTAGTGTAGTGCCTAAGGCACTTGACTACTAACCAGAAGGCTAGCGGTTCAAATCCACCAGCCACTCCAGGGAAGGCAGGTTGGGCAATCTACTTCCATAGTGATACTGCCTTGGAAATCCAAGGAGAGGTTGCTATGAATCAGGTCCAACTCGACAGCACATAACAACAAGAAATATACATACATATATATATATATATATATATATACACAATTATATACTTATAAAAGTATATATTTATATAAGTACAGTAGAAAAACTGAGCATAAGAGATTTGTAGGACAGGCAAAATGTCTGTAGCATGTATATGATTGGAATGCCATAAGAAGTAAAGGAAAATAGGGCAGAAGCAATATTTGAGGATATGATTTGAAATTTGTCAATGCTGAGGAAAGGCATCAACAAACAGATTTCAGAAGTTCAGTAAATTACAAGCAGAAATATACAAAGTAAACAACTAGTTCCATTGTAATCAAATTGCTAAAACAAAACAAGGAAAACAAGAACAGAGGGAACATTTCAACAACAGGGAAGGGAAACAAAAAGAAACAGTACTGTCAAAGGAAACAGTAAAACCAATAGCTGAATTTTTTATCAAAATTATGGAAGCCAGACATAGTTTGACACATTTACTGTACTGACTGAAAAATACTATCAACTTAAGATTTTATACCCAGTGAAAATATTCTTCAAAAATAAAGGCCAAATAATCTAGGAGAATTAATTACTATCAGAAATTCACTATACAAAGTAATAAGGGGAATTTTCAGACTGAAAGAAAGTACATGCAATCCTCAATTACAACTGAGTTCCATTCCTAAATCTGTCTTTGATTTTAATCGGAAGTAATTTGGAACAGTTAAGTACAGTTTCTATATAACATCAATTAGTCAAATGTTTATCTATACAGTATATAGTGTAAACTTCTATACATAACAACATTAAAGAAACATTTCTGGATACTCTAAAATATCTTTAATATAATAATATAGTGCAGGCATACCTTATTTTATTCTGCTTTGCTTACTTTGCTTTTCAGATATTGTGGTTTTTTTTACAAATTGAAGGTTCCAGTAACCTTGTATTAAGCAAGTCTAACAGTGCCATTGTTTCAATAACACATGCTCACTTCCTGTTTCTGTGTTACATTTTGTTAATTCTCACAATATTTCAAAAATTTTCATAGTGCTATTTCCCATTTAAGATAAGTTTTATATGCACTAGAAAACAAAAATGTTGTGTTATTCACTTAATTTTTCTATTCACTTTATTGTGGTGATCTGAAAATGAATCCACAATATTTCTGAGGTGTGCCTGCATTAATATTAATCATGTTTTGGTACAAGTTGCATACTAGTTTCTGTTTGTTACTACAAAGCATTGTGCATATACTAGGCTTTACAGAGGTTTTTTTGTAACTATGGATTGTACGCAATTTGGATGTCTGTAACCTATGGACTGCCTGCAATCCCATAAGGAAGGAAAAACTTCGAGAAAGAATGAAGAACATTAAAATATATGTATGTATGTATGTGTGTGTGTATATATATATATATATATATATATGTATGTATAAAATAATATTGACAGTTTAATATCATAATGATGATTGTGATGATTCTACTAATACCACTTGAAAAAGAAAGACAGACATAAAAGACTTTATATTGCATAATTCCTTTTATGTTCAAAAACAGAAAAAAAAACTAATTTGAGGTCTTAGAATTCACGATAATGATTATCTTTGAGTGTGAGACTTAAAGGGACCCCAAAAGGAATCTCAAGGGTGCTGATAGAATTCCCTTTGTTTACCAGGATGATGAGAGATCATGGTGAATTTAATTTCTGAAATTAAGATTTGTGTAATTTCTGTATTTGTAATATACAGTGATAAAAATATTATATCTGTGTATACACACACACATGCATATGCATATGTATGAACACATATATACAAACATGGTCTACTAAACCAGAAATGACAAATTGAAGAGGAATGGTGTCATATACATTATCAAAAAGAGCATTTCAAGATCTATGCTAAAGTGCAACATTGTCAGTGAAAGGATGATATACATACACTTACAAGGAAAATCAAGTTAATATGATTATTATAGAAAATTTTGAACCAACCATTCACAACAATGATGAAGAAATTAAAAATTTTTACCAACTTCTGCAGTTGAAAATTGGTCAATTATGCAATCGGGATGCATTGATAATTACTAGTGTTTGCATAAAAGTTGGAAACAAATAAGAAGGATCCATGGTTTTGATAATAAGAAACAATGTTGGAGATTGTGAGAAAGAATTTGCAAGATCAATGACTTATTCATTGCAAATGCTTTTTTCAACAATATCCACAGTGAATATAAAAATGGACTTTGGCAGGTGGAATACATAAGTCAAACTGACTGCATCTGTGGAAAGAGATAATGGAGAAGTTCAATATTATCAATCAGAACATGGCCAGGAGCCAACTGTGGAATAGACCATCAATTGCTCCTATGCAAGTTCAAGTTGAAGCTGAAGGAAATTAAAATGAGATCACAAGAGCCAAAATACAACCTTGGTTATATCTCATCTGAATTTAGAGACCATGTGAAGAAAGATTTGATGCATTGAACACCAATGATTGAAGAGCAGGCAAGTTGTGGAATGACATCAAGGATGTCATACATGAAGAAAACCAAAGGTCATTAAAAAGACAGGAAAAGAAGAAAAGACCAAAATGGAGGTCAGAAGAGACTCTGAAACTTGCTCTTGTACAGAAAGTAGCTAAAGAAAATGGAAAAAATGATAAAGTAAAAGATCTGAACAGAAGATTTCAAAGCACAGCATGGAAAAATAAAGTTTTATAATGGAATGTAAAAACACCTGGCATTACAAAACCAAAAAGGATCGACATGCTCAGCTTTTCTTAAGCTGAAAGTATGAAGAAACAATTGAAGCCTTGAGTTGCAATATTGAAAGATTCTATGGACAAAATATTGGATGACACAGGAAGCAAGCACAGAGAGAAGATGGAGGGAATATACAGAGTCACTACACCAAAAAGAACCGGTCTATGTGCAAGCAATTCAGAAGGTAGTGTATGATCAAGAAACAGTGGTATTGAGGGAAAAAGATCAAGCAACACTGAAGGATTTGTGAAAAACAAGGCTCCAAGAATTGATGGAATACCTATTGAGATGTTATAAACTAACAATGTGACACTCGCCTGTCTACGCCAAGAAATTTGGAAAACAGCTGCCTGACCAATCAACTAGAGCAGATTCATATTTGTACCCATTCCAAAAATAGGTGATCCAACAGAATTCGGAAATTATAGAATAAAATCACTAATATCATACATAAGAAAAATGATGCTAAAGTAATTCAAAAATAGTTGCAGCAGTACATGGACAGGGAACTGCCTGAAATTCAAATCATATTCAGAAGAAGACATGGAATGAGGGATATGACTGCTGATGTCAGATGGATTTTGGCAGAAAGCAGAAAAGACCAGAAAGATGTTTACCTGAGTTCTACTAATTATGCAAAAGCACCTCATCTGTGTGGATCATAACAAATTATGGATAACATTACAAAGAATAGTAATTGCAGAACCCTTAACTGTGCTCATGAAGAACATGTACGAAGATGAAGACCACCATTTGAACAGAACAAGAGGATACTGCAGACCACCATTTGAACAGAACAAGAGGATACTGCATGGTTTAAAATCAAGAAAGGTGTCCATCAGTGTTTAATCTTTTCACAATACTTATTTGATCTGTATGCTGAGCAAATTATACAAGAAGCTGGACTATATGAAGGATGCAGAATCAGAATTGTAGCAAGACTCATTAACAACCTGCAATATGCAGATGATACACACTGTTTGCTGAGGGTGAAGAGAACTTGAAGCACTTGCTGATTAAGAACAAAGACTATGGCTTTCAGTATGGATTACACATCAACATAAGCAAAACAAAAATCTTCACAACTAGACCAATAAGTAACATCATGATAAAAAGAGAAGATATTGAAGTTTCAAGGATTTCATTTTACTTGGATCCACAAATCAATGCCCATGGAAGCAGCAGTCAGGAAGTCAAGTGACATATTGCAATGGGCAGATCTGCCGCAAAGGATCTCTTTAAAAAAAGCAAAGATGTCACCTTGAAGACTAAGCTGTGCCTGATCCAAGCCATGGCATTTTCAAATGCCTTATATGCATATGAAAAATGAGCAATAAGTAAGGAAAGCTGAAGAAGAATTGATTATTTGAATTACAGTGTTGGCAAAGGATATTGACTATACTGTGGATTGCCACAAAAACAAACAAATCTTGGAGGAAATACATCCAGAATGCTCCTTAGAAGCAAACATGGCTGTCTCAAGTACTTTGGACACATTACCATGAGGAACCAATTCTTAGAGAAGGACATCATTGGTAAAGTAGAGAGTCAGCAAAACAGAGGAAGACCCTCAATGAGATGGATTGACACAGTGGCTGCAACAATGGGTTCAAACATAGTAATGATTGTGAGGATGGTTCAGTACCAGGCAGTATTTCATTTTGCTGTACATATGAGTCAGAATCAATTAGATAGTACCTAACAACAGCAGCAATGTGTATGCATATGTGCGTATTTGTGTGTGTGTATATATATAGATACACACACACACATGCATATTTCACTCAAATAATCTTAGTTATCTGAACAAAACCAAAGCATTCTCTTTGACAATGCCCACACATTAACTTTTCATTTCTAATCTAGCACCAAGTGTTAATGCTTCTTATGTCCAAATCTTTCTCAATTCTCTATATTTCCCTCTATTTTTGTTTCATAACTTAATCAAACTTAAAATAGTCACTTTCTGAACTATGGTAATATTTGATTTCCCCAGAGTCAAAATGCCCACACACACACCCCCGCTTGGATTTTTCTTCCACGTAGAATCTAGAGGGATCACTTCAAAATTCCAGTCTAGAATCAATCCCTGCTTAAGCCTTTTGATGCCTTCCAATTTCTCTTGAAACAAATACACAATGCTAATCACATTCTACAAGGTCTTACATGGTCTGTTTCTCAAATAGCATCTCATATGCCCCCTGGCTATTCTCTGTACTCCAGCCACACTGGCTTTCCTTCAAGTCCTCACGCCTTTTCATGTTGTGTTTATTCTGGCTGAAGAGACCATTCACTCCTACTCATTTTTCAGAGCTTAGCTCATGGTTCACTTCCTTGAGACAGCCTCTTTTAACTCAAATCTCAACCTCCGGCCTGTACTAAGATCCTTTGACACATGCTCTTGAATGAATGTCTTCCTTTCTGTCAGAGCATTTATCTCAGTTTATTACATTCATTAGTTTGCTTTATAAAAAATATCTACCTTCCACATTACAGTATGTTGTTGTTGTTATGTGCCATCAAGTCGGACCCTACTCATAGGGAACCCTCCTTGGGTTTCCAAGGCAGTATGGCAGTATGGAAGTAGATTGCCCAACCTTTCTTCCGAGAAGTGGCTGATGGGTTTAAACCACCAGCCTTCTGGTTAGCAGTCAAGTGCCTTAGGCACTATGCTACCAGAGCTCCTGCATTACAGTATGTTTTATAAAGATTTGGATTTGCTTTTAATCCACTGATATATCTACAGGACCTAAAAGAGTTCCTGGTACCTATTAGGAACTCCATATTTAATAGATATACAGGCAGGTAGATAGATATATACATACGTAATAGATGGCATACTGGCCCCTCACTACCATAATACAGCTGTACAATCTGGCTTGGGTCCCCCAGCTCTATTAAATTCTAGTATGAAAAGCCAACTTTTATTCCTGATTTGAAAAAGACCCTGTGTCAAGATGGTCATATCCAATGACTTAAGAAAATATCACACAGAAGAACAGCTGAGAAATTATTGGGTGTTATTTTTAATATAACTTGAACAGTTCTGGCAAGAAAAAAAGAATTATTTAATTATTAGCACTAAGAGTAGAATGAGCCATCTTATAATATAATAGGTGCTCTGTTACTGGTTGTCAAAGAGTAGGAAGTGATTGTCTGTTAGATATATCACTAAGAGATTTCTGCTTTGAGTGAAGGTCAACTAATGTTCCAATGGTAAATTATGTCCATGAAACAGGTCTTTCAAGGAGGTAATGTCTCTTTTCTGTATTGACCACATATGAGAGAAAACAGAAGTATAAGAGTTCAAGTGAATCAACATATCATTCAATTACATCACATCAACCATTTTCAGATCTCCCCTGGTGACACCAAGGAAATATTTGTGGAAGAGCATATATAACCATATATCTCCTCAGCACATGAATTGTTGTTGTTAGTTATTTTTTAGTTTATTAGACTCACAGCAACCCCACGTATGCAGAGTAAAACTGTTCTCCACAGTTGTCAGGGCTGTGACCTTTCTGAAGGACATCACCAGGACTGCCTTCCAAGGTGTTTTTCTGCGTAGTTTCAATTCTCCAACATTTCAGGTAGTAGTTGAGCACTTAACTATTTGTGCCACCCAGGGACATTCCCAATAGATGAATTGATAAATAAAATGTGTTATATACATACAATGAATATTACTCAGCCATAATGAGAAATACATGAAGTAACACAGATATATCTTGAAAATATTAGGTTGGCTGAAATGAGTCAGTCATAAAAGGACAAATATTGTATGATCCCACTTATAGAAAGAAAACAAATATAAACTCACTCCTGTACAGTCGTTTCCAACTCATAGCAACCCCTCCTTGGGTTTCTGAGGCCTATCTCTACGTGCAGATTGTCCCATCTTCCTTCCGAGAAGTGGCTGGTGGACTTGAAATGCCAGCCTTCTAGTTAGCAGTCAAATGCCTTAGACACTACACCAACTTTTTCACAGCACAGAGGTGGGAGGGAGGAGGAAACAGGAAGTCATTGCCTAGGGGCCACTGAGTTTCTGTTAAGGGAGGTGGAATAATTTGGAAAAGAATAGTAATAATGATTTAATAACATGATGGACATGAACAGTATCACTGAAGTGTTCATGTAAAAATTGCTGAATTGGCATGTGTTTCATTACCCATATTTTTACCACAATATAGATAAATAAAAGTTTTTGAAATGAAAATTGCATTAGGAGAAATCCGGTGCTATCTTGGCCAGAAAGAAAAATAAATTCTTGATTTGAGGAAAAAATAGGAGATATTGCTAAATATCTTCAGCCTATGTTTGTCAACTTTCCTAGGATCCTGGCTTTTGTCCTGGAATCAGAAAAATACTTATTTAATGAAATGTTGGTTAGTTTGAAGCAATTATGTGTAGCTCCTGCCACCTTGAGGCCATCTCTGTGAGTTGCACCTTCTCTAACACCAGGAAAATATAGTCCATGATGCAACAAGTCCTTTTTCTGGCTTATCAATGGAAGCACATCATTTGCATTTATATAATACTATCGAGTTTTACATTTTCACTTACATTGTCTCATTTAGCCTTCATAAAAATCTTGTGGGAGAAGTCATGTTAACTGTGTTGTATACACACACATACAGACACATACAAATACTATAGAAAACCTGTCAGTAAGTTTTGCTTTCTGTTAAAGTTGAATTAAGAACAGTAAAATTGCTGCATTTGGAGGCATCCATTTGGGAGAGTCCATGGATGAGATGCTTCTGTCTTGGTGCGTTTTAATGTCAGTTGCCCTCAGGGGAAAAATCAGGGATGTGAACCAACCAGGCACTTCAGATGGAGATAGATGTTCAGTGTTTTGTTTAATCATATAAAAATGGTCTTTGTTATGGAAATTAATACTGTCACCAGCAGCAACACAGAGAGAAGAAAAATGATGCCTTGAGTCAGAAGAAAGGATGTGGGAAATAGATGACTTCCATTCAAGAAAGGAGTATCAGCTGGAGCCATATAAGTTGGGGTCAAGGAGAAGGATAGCCAGTCTTTGTGAAGAATCAAATGCAACTAATATAATTTAAGAGATTTTTGTTTGTTTTTTCCCAGTGCTATAATTTTTTTATGTTATTTTCAAACCTTTGGTAAAATTGGAAGAACATTGTATACTTGTGTAAGCTGTGCTTTGAGAAGTTAGCATAGAAGTGCTGTATTAACACAAAAATCCTACAAAGTAGGCTGGAGGCAAAGATAGAGCAAAGTGAAAAGATTATGAAGTGATAAGTGGTAACTCTTTGGGGTAGAATAAGAGATGACAAATAATGGAATAGATTTGTGGAATTTATAATAAACACTTCTTAGCAATTCTCAGTGAAAAAGAGCAGAGGGGACATACAAGCTAAATCCAACAATACGCAGTGGGGCATCAAATCACTGATGTCATGAATGCCAAGATTAGATAGCAAAGTGACTGGAAGGAGGAACTATTCCCATGTTACCTTTCTCTTTCTCTTCCTGCAAACTTTTTGCCACATGCATATAGTTCAACTTCAGAAAAAGGTGTGTGGTCTTCATCACAGCAGAGACTATGCCAGCATTTTGAATCATCAAGTTAGCTACCTCAGTCCTATTTGCCTTTTCTAGCTTGCCTGTGGAGATTTTCAGCTCATCTGGGAGAAAGAACTTGAATCTATGGGGCTCTTCATCAGTGATATTATCCAGTTCAATTAATAAAAGGATTTCTTTGTATTTACTCTCCATGTCATGACTTTAGGATCTATTAGAAGTTCAAAACATACAATTTAATACAAATATAAATGAATTCTATATTCAAATGTAAAGCAAGGTGAGTTGTTAATATCTTAATTAGTGTCACTGAATTGTATGTGTGAACAAAGTTGAATTGGTAAATGTTGTGTTGTCTATATTTTTACAGCAATAAAAAAATACACAAAATATTTGCAGTATGGCTAAGAAGACATAAGTGAGATATAAGAACATCTTAATCGAAATGCTCAGTAACTACTCCTGAGAAAAGAAATCTTCAAAGTTTATACAATTTTTCTAGAATCCTTAAAGGATAGAATGACTTCTCCTTTTATTTTTTAAGCAGATGTATTGAGGGACAACTGCCATACAACAAAATACATATATTTAAAATATACAATTTGATAAATGCTGGCATATGCACCAACTTGATGAAGTCCAATCTATCAATTTGTTCTTTTATAGGTTGTGCTTTTGGTATCAATTCTAAAGAATCCTTTCCTAATACGAAGACAAAAGATTTTCTCCTACAGTTTCATCTGAAAATTTTATGGTTTGAGGTTTTACATTTATGTCTATGATTTATTTTGAATTATATTGTATTTGATGCCAAGTGTGGTTTAAAGTTTATTTATTTGGCACATGGATATTGAATTTTCTGGCAACATATGCTGAAAAGACTATACTTTTTACACTGACAGGCTTTTGCAACTTTTCAAAAAATCAGTTGTGCATATGTTAATGGATATATTTCGGGACTCTGTTCTGCTCCATTGATCTATTTCTCCATCTTAATGTCAATGACACATTGTGGATATGCAGATATATATATTTGTGTATAACACTCATGATAATTCACAAAATATTAGAACTAAAAGTAATGAAATTAGCAAAGTTTCTACACATAAACTCAATACATAAAATTGGCATCCCTTTATTCCAGCAACACACAATTAGAAAAATAAACTTGAATAGAAAGTATATTTCCAATAATAATACACCTACAAAGTATCTAAGAACATCTAACAAAAAATACATAAGACCTTTACAGAAAAAAATGATAAAGTCTTATTGAAAATGTGCAAAACCTAAATAAATGGAGAGGTATGTATTATTTTAAATGGGAAGACTCAATAGCTATTTAAGCTGGGTTCTCTAGAGAAGCAAAACCAGTGAAGCTCATGGAGAGAGAGAGAGGAAAAAAAAAAAAAAAAAAAAAACTTATCTTAAGGAAATAGCTCACAGAAGTGTAGAAGTTGACAAGTCCCAAGTTTATGGGTCAAACATCAAGCTGGAGGCATTCTCTGACTCATGCAGCTTCAGAGGCTGATGACCCCAAGATCAGCAGGCAGTATAGCAGGCTGCTGGCTTCAGCAGATGACAAATTCAAGATCAGCAGGTAATATGGCAGATTGTTCACTTGGAGGCTGGGAGGGAAGAATCCCAGGATCAGCAGACAACACAGCAGGTCACTGGTTCAACTTCAAGAACAAGAGAAGATGATGAGCAGAAAGCTGAGAATGTTCCCAGGATGTCCACATATATATTGGAAGCAGCCCATACCCCTGAGGAAACTCCTTTTCAATTGAGGTGCTACTCATAGAACATCTCATCAGGAAGTGATTATATTATACCAGATCTCATCATTGGGGATGACTACATCACAACTGCTTTAAACACCTAGAGTCATGGTCCAGCCAAGTTGACACACAACCTTAACTATCACTAAAGCATTATGATAGCTACTCTTCTCAAATTAATGTATAAATACCATTCAAAACTCCAAAGGGCTTCCAATAAACCTTATGAGGCTAATCCTAAAGCATACATAAAAGAGTAAGGGCCTAAAAACCCAAATCAAATGTGAAGATAATTATGAACAAACCCCCAGCCTTACTAAATATCAGTTGAAATGACTGACTGTGACTTTTAAGGGTCTTTGAATATGCACATGAGTAAAATCAATGCTAGTAATTTCTGAATTGTTACTGAGACACAGGCTTATTATAACTTTCCTACCGGGCAATATACTTCCGTAGTGATATCGCCTCGGAAAGCCAAGGAGGGGTCGCTATGAATCAGGGCTGACTCAACGGCACATAACAACAACACAACATAGGCTAAAGAAATTCTACTTACATATATAAAGTTTTCAAATGTAAAATAAAACTATTTTCTGAAACAAGAAACAAAATCACTCAAATGTCCCAGTGCTACCAAAGAAAGGAAAGAAAAAAATATTGGTTGTACATCTACCATGTATAGGCTTAACAGTCAATGGGATATATTTCCTACCTGTCTATAAAAATTCTGTCTTCCTATACCCCTATTCTGTGACAGTATCATTGCATTTTAATTCACATTTTGTACATAAGGAAATTAGGACTCAACTATTTCTCTGGAGATTTGTTTTTATATTACAAATGTAAACTTTATATTTTATTACATAACACCTATTTAATTGAAGAATGTTTTAAAATATTTATCTTTGGGTAAAATTTATACTCCAAGAAAATACATTCAGATTTATCAGTGCCCTCGATACCCTTTGGGTACACATGTTGTCATTTAAAAAGTATGATGCAGTACCACACATAGTGGTTGATATTTGCATAGTACATTACAGTTTACAAAGTGCTTTCATATAGATCCTGGAAGATGGAAGAGAAAGGAAACATTCATAATGCACGGCAGAAGTAGATTTGCCAGTCTTCCTTCTAAGGAGTGGATGGTTGGTTTGAACCACCAGCCTTCTGGTTAGTAGTCAAATGCCTTAGGCATTACACCACCACAGCTCCCTCACATATCAGGATGTTGAAAATACCACGGTTTGGGTAAGGCCCCCTTACTGTTCAAAGTGAACTTTTTGTTCTTTATCACTTTAAAAAGGTCTTTTACAACCCATCTGTGCAATGCAGTATATCGTTTGATTTCTTGTTTGCTGCTTCCATGGGCATTGATTGTGGATCCAAGTAAAATGAAATCTGTGCCAATAAAACTACTATCTGAAACAAGAAATAAAATCACTCAAATGTCCCAGTGGTACCAAAGAAAGGAAAGAAAAAAAATATTGGAGAAAATCAATCTTTTCTTCTATTCAGCTATTCACTGAAAACCTTATGAATGGCTTTGAGAATAAAGAGTTTAAAGTTCTCAGCAAAGGCTGCCTGACACACACCAGTTGCCATTTATTATAATCTCCAAACTATGACTGGTTGTATTAAGCATCTGAGGAGAAATTACTGACCCAAGGCACAGAGCTGATAAAGGAAATAGCATGGCCTGACCTCAAAGTCTTCTGAATCCAAGACTCCAGGTCTTCTGCTCTGTCTATTGACAACTGCTTACTTATCCAGAGTGTGGTATGATTACTTACTTAATAAAGCAACAATAACAAAGCAAAAAAGGCTGGTGTATGTGGCTGTGATTTGGAAGAAGAAATCGAAGGCAAAGCTACTCCAATGTTTAGAGTGTTAAGGATGAAGGTTGATCAGCCACAGAGATTGTGAGAGTGGCTAATAAGGTAGGAAGAAACTCAAGAAAAAGAGTGGTCTGGAAGCTAAGAGAAGGTAATTCTTAAGAAGAGAAAGGAGTTAACTGTGCCACATGCTCTGATGTATCAGGTAAAACGAGGACTGTAAAAAGGGCATAAAATTCAAAATACAGGTTCATTGGTGACCCTGACAAAGGCAGCTTTGATGGTGTGATGAGGAAGAAAGTCTAAGTCAAACCAGTGGAAAGAAAGGGGAAAATGCAAATAAAAACAATGCCTTTCAGGAGTTTTGCTGTAGAGAGAGGCCAGAAAAATGTGATGAAAGCTTGAGGGAGATGTGGGGTTAAAAGATAATTTTTGCTTTTGTTTGCTTTCTTTTAGGCAGTGCTTAGCAGTGGCCTTCATGTTGATGAGAATGACAACAGAGAGGGAAAATGTGGTGAGGTAGAAGAAAAGAGAATTGTTTAAGCAAGTTTTAATTGTTTAAGCATTAGAGCTATGCTTCTTTGAAAGACAACTTGTGAAACACAAGAAGCTCACTCAATATTTCCCACATGTGCCATCTGCAGTGAAGGAATGGTGTGTCTTCCTCACTCCACTATTTCTCAGTCTTCCAAGGATTTCACACTTGAATTTTTATTTCCTGTGTTAACCTGATGCCTCAGACCGACAGCTATATAGTTAGACAGGACTCAAATTCTGGGTCTGCCATTTACAAGCTGTATAACATCTGGAAAATTACAACCTTCCCAAAGTGCCCATGTCCTTAACTGTAAAGTGGGAAAAATACTACCATTTACAGTAAGGAATCACTATTAGAATGATATGTGTCTATGTAAGTAAGTCTAGTATTTATCACAGAGCCCTGCATGGAGTAATCATCTACTCAAAGTTACCTGTGAGTATAAAAATTGATAAAAGTAATTATAAAGTAATAATATTTTGTGGCAAATAACAGTTCTACCTGGGATGGGAGGTGGTGACCTGGATTTGAGACTAAGAAGAGAAGGGGAGGTGGGTATTTTATTTATTTATTTATTTTCCTACTAAATGATAGAGACTTATGGGTAATGTGGAGGCACAAATGAGGAATAGATAAACTCCCTTGGCTAATAATGAGAGTCTTGGTCAACAGATGATAAAGAAAGAGTGGGATCTTTACGTCACACCAGAGCAGCCCACTAGGACTAGACTGGAGGCTCCATTGGCCTGGGGTCAGGAAGATGAGGGCCTGCATTTTGTGAGGAGAGGCATTCTTTACTGGGAGGTTCCTAGGTGTCATGTGATGGTTAAATCAAGTAAGCTGGCATACTGCTCTGAAAGGTTACTTGGGGTAACTGTGCCAGGGGAACTCTGGCAGAAAAGCCAGTCTTACAAATCATCTGGTAGGGAAACCACAAGGGAGAAAAAAGCTTAGGAATAATACAGGCTCAGAGACACCCAGGGAGGTGTCTTAAAGTAACAATAAAACAGAAGTTACCCCATTATTTCAGAGCCAATG